CTCTTTTCCTACAAAATGACCCCTGCTACAGGAGGATGCTAAGACGCCTCACCTTCATTCTCCGATGAGACCATTGCACGTATTATCCTTGGGAACAAAACGCTTCCTTCTTCTTCCAGGGTCTGGTGACCTTTGAGGACGTGGCCGTGTGCTTCTCAGAGGAGGAGTGGGCGCTGCTGGGTCCGGACCAAAAAGCCCTGCACCAGGAAGTCATGGAGGAGAACTGCTGGAACCTGACCTCTCTGGGTATGTCTCCCTCCTCAGCCTTTTGTGGACAAATACTGGAAGGGGGAATTTCTGCTTCAGTCGTTTATATCAGTGCAATGTAGAAATGTCATGGACGACAGATGCATCAGATCCACGTTCCTTGGAGACCATCTGTTGGTTCAGTTGTTAAATTTATTTGTAGCAGTAGAAAAGACCAGGAGTCCAGTAGCACCTTAAAGGCTAACAAAACATGTGGCCGGGGAGGAGCTTTCATGAGTCACGGCTCACTTCTTCAGATGTGACTCAGGAAACCTCATCCCTTGCCACAAATTTTGTTAGTCTTTAGGAGGAGGAGGAGATTGGCTTTACACCCCGCCCTTCACTCGGAGTCTCAGAGCAGCTTACAAACGCCTTTCCCTTCCCCTCCCCCCAACAGACATCCTGTGAGGTAGGCGGGGCTGAGAGAGCTCTTTCCAGAACTGTCCTTGAGAGAACAGCTCTGACAGAACTATGGCTTGCCCAAGGTCATCCAGCAGCTGCAAGTGGAAGAGTGGGGAATCAAATCCGGTTCTCACAGATTGTAGTCTGCACACTTAACCACTACACCAAACTGGCTTTAAGGTGCTACTGGACTCTTGCTCTTTTCTACTGCTACAGACAAACAGGGCTACCCATCTTTATTTGTAGCTAGTCATAGTAGAAACCCAAAGGGCAGCATATTTGAAACCCTAACGGTAAGGATAAGATACCCATAAACTCATGTGGAAATGCTAAGGAGTAACCTCAGTGCTTCTTCACTTTTCCACTTCTTTGTCCCGTGACATCTCACTCTTCTGGGTTGGCAGCTTTGTGGCATCTCTTCTGAGGGACGTGGAGATGTTACCTTGAAGCCCTTCATGGAAGCTGCATTAGATGCCTTCAGACCTGGATGTAAGATGTTAGGGAGGGGCTCAGTGGTAGAGCATCTGAGAGAGAGTTTGGTGTAGTGGTTAAGTACGTGGACTCTGATCAGGGAGAATTGGGTTTGAGCTGTCCTTGAAAGAGCCCTTTCTGTCAAGAGCTCTCTCAGCCCCACCTACCTCATAGGGTATCTGTTGTGGGGAGGGGAAGGGAAAGGGGTTTGTAAGCCGCTCTGAG